GATCATACAGTTCCAACCCCCCTGCACAGGCAATGACACCTCTCACTTCCAAACAGCATTATGCTGAAAACCAACCTCTGCATACGTCAAAGCCAGACCAAATCTGAGCTTTTCAGAATAAACGTTGTGAAACTTTCCCACATCCCACTTTTCCCTGAGCTATCAGAAAGATTTCCCCTTCCTGAAGAACTTTGCTCTTTTCTCCATCACTCAAAAAGTCACTCTCTGAAATAACACCAAGCTCCAGATAATAAACAAAAAACTTTTTTAAAAAATTAAAAATCCACCTTGGAACCGAGCAAAAGTAGAAGTTATTATCTCAATATATCATGAGGTTTTTTTGTTGGGTTTTTTTGACAAGCTATGATTTCCCAAAATACTGGGTGGTGATGAAAGTGTCTTTTCCAGTTGTGAGTCATATTCTCAGCATAGCTCCTTTGGCTTGAGAGGAGTAACGCTGTTTTACACCAGCTGAAAATCTCATTCCCCAACTACAGCAGTGTGACTGGGTGCTGTTTTCTAATCAAATAACCACTGTGAAATACCTGATTCACTTTGCACCCAACAGCTGTACTTTCAGCCTGTGTTCCCAGTCACACTCTGGAAATAAGCACAATAAGAAAGGCCGAAACAGCTGCAACTTCTCAACAGAAAAAAAAACGAAGGGAGAAAAACCCCCTTGTTGTCAGGCTCCAGCTTAGGAAGGAAGTAAAACCATTTTTCTTTTCCGTCTCATACATGTCAGCTGTCTTAGAAAAATTATTACTGCTCTGTTTTGTAACAGAAACTCCACAATATTCAGTAAACTACAAACTTCATTCTATTCATGGCCAAATACAGATTTAACATTTCTGATGCAGCCAAAACATGCTCAGTATGTCAATGGGCTGCAATTACTCTCCAGGAGAGCTTTGGAATTCACCTCCCGGCCCCAATTATTCTCTTTAAAAGAACTCATGAATCTTCTGTATTTGCACCATCCAGATTGATTTGATTTTAGTTTTAGATTTTGGCTGAAAAAAAACAAAAACCATTTAGTATAGGAAGCTGTATTTCCTTTCCAGTATTAGCACTTTCCAGAGCTGTTTAATTGAATAATTCTATTTAATGGAACTAAAACCACGAGCAGAAACCAACAGGTGATGCTCCTTGGTTGGATAAAACATACCTACTTTTGCATTCTGAATATTACTGGCTCCTCAATAAGCAAAATACAGGCTATATTCTGAGTTGGGCTATTAGCACAGTTTTGATGGGTAATGCTATAAGCTCCAGTGGAATCACTTGTAAAGGTAGAAGGTATATTAATTGTGATATGTCTCTAAATACATAAAAATTCCAGAATCAGGTAGCTGTCATCTAGAGAAAGAAAAACTTTACTCTCAGAAACTACATATTAAACTTTCTATTGGCTTTTGCAGCAATGCTGTGCTATTGTCCTGTGGTAAGGAGAGAAAATGGATAGAGATGGAAATGGCGTTGGAGATGTGGGGTCAGTAGGAAGGCAGAAAGTGCTGAGCAGATGGAAGTGCAAAAGGAGATGAAAGCAAGAAAAAGGAAAGAAAAGAAGGAGAACCAAGGGGTTGGCTGCTGATCAAGTATAAACAAGTATAGTGGGAGAATATGAGAAACTTTTTCAAATAAATTTATCTGAGGTTGAGTATCAGTAGGTGGCTGCTGCACTCACTGGCTTCCACAGCACAGGCTTGGTGCTTCAGTTCAATTTAGATGGCACAATCACTATGTTTAAACATCTTTCTCTTCCTCTCCCCCAGAATGTTACATAACAATTAAAGGAAACGCTAAATTAATACAGTCAAAAAAGTGAATTAAATCTTCATTATTTTCATCAAGCTGTTTCATATTTGGGCACTTTTCAGGCTGCGGTTGTCAGAGACAGAGGTACTGTACTACTATTTCTTTTAATCTCATGGATGACTGCTAGTGCTGAAATCTGTCACAAACCAAATTGCCTAAATATGGTAAGGTTTGGTATTTCAAAGATTATACAAGATGAACTGGATTCATTGGAAGAGCTGAGCTGACTTTCTAATTTTAGATATATATGAATATGTTTTGCTTTTCAATAGTTGGCCTGAAAATATCTTTGCAATATCTTTGTAACCAGATTTAAAGCAGGTTCCCTAACAGGTAGAATTTTGCAACTAATTATCTCTGTAAGCATACCTACCTCTGATGGGTTACAGGCAGCTCTGAATAGCTAGAAGTTATAAGGGGATTGCACAGGAAAATTCAATATTTGCATGTAGAAAGAGCTAAAAACATGAGTGCAAATGACTGTGCAAAAGAGAGGTGTGCAGTAAGTGAAAAACTGAGGATTTTTTGCAATTTGTTGCAGCAGATTTGTGAATGAAACAAAAATAACATAATTACACTTCTTTGCTAAAAAATGAGGGGAAGCGTTTGGGGATATCTTTTTTGATAAATTAAGTCATTGTTAGATTATCCTGATTTTTTTAACCCATTTTACTTCAGTAATGATCATTTAATAGCTTAATTTTTAATTATCTCAATCTCATTGCAGTTAGTAGCTATATTTCCATAGAAACACTGCAAATCTGCTTTAGTTGGGCATTTGCTAATGAACATGTTTGAAAGCACTTCCTACATAACTATTAGTGAAAAACATATTAATGCCAGTGAGCATTAAATTCTGCAAAAAAACTGTGTCCGCTGTATCCTACAGACCTAGCATCCCTTCATTGGAAGCAAAACAAATACTAACCATTTTATTTGGAGGTAGTGTCATTACAGGTAGCCAGGAAGCTTATTCTCTCGCTGGTTGCACCAAACCCTCAAAGAAAGAGCGTCTACTTATTACAATATGAGTCCATGCTGACTTCCCCCTGTAGCTCAAGCTAATCTAATTCAATGATGAGAATATTTCTGCTAATGGCAATGTGCATTTTACACAATAGCCTTTCTTTTGATCTGTTACTGAACCTGGAATGGGAAATGTATTCTGGAAATATTTTAATTGTTCCTTAAGTTTGGCAAATGTCTGAATGAAATGTGTGGTGCAGGGCTTGAATGAATAATTTAAAGAATGTTACAAATAAACATAATGCTGCCTTGCGTTTTCCACCAAAGCTCCCTAAAAGCTTTGTGACAGCCCAGAAGAAATGCAGTAAGACAGTAGCTAAACTGTATTTTGTAGATAAGGAAATGGCTTCAGAAAGGTTAAACAAATTGCTCGTGTTCGTTGTGTGAACCAGTATGCACATTTAAGAACAGAGTGTAGGCTGCTTCTGAGCTCAGTGTGTAGCTCTTAGCATTTGCCTTTCCAGTTCTGAGGACAAACTGCAGCTTAAAGTTACCAAGGTCATCAAGGGAAGTTCAAGTAAAACTGGCAGGGTTGTCATTGGACATTTTGTTTCCCACTTACAGGGGTAAAGACAAACACAATTTTCTTCAATTTTTCATCTATCCTTTGTGGTAAATCACTTTGATCTCCCCCCCGGTGGAGCATTACACATTTTACAAGATGGGGCAGGTCCTGTGTCCAGTCTGTGCAGAAGTCAGAAGTGTAGGTTTAGAATTCCATTTGTCTAAAAATGATGCCAATAGTAGGTTAACAAATACTGGGGACGATACGTAACCCTACTTACTATGTGAGGCAAGTACAGAGAAGGAAAAGGGAGAGAAGAAAGGGAAAGCTTGTTAGTTAATCTCATCTGATGACTTCCACACAAAGATTTTTATGAAAAGGAGCAAGCGCCCAAGTGATGTCTGATGGGAGGTTTTGAGAAATGGGAAAGCTGGAAGGGCACAGAAAGTCATTATGGCAAATCTCGTCAGGTTTCAGTTAATGACGGTTGGGGAACAAAGCAAACAATTTTCATGACTCTCTGCAGCCTACAGAGCTAAAAGGGCCAAAGACTGCTAACACTTCAGAAAGCCCACCAGAAGACAAAAAATGCTGGCAGAGTAAAAGGACACAGGTCCTTGGGTGCAAGAGAGATCAAGGCTGAGAGACACATCCAGGCTGGATCCTGTGGCAGCTGCAGAATTCAAGCTCTCCAAGGTGGTCATTGCAGGATGACAGTGCTTGAAATAAGATGGGTGAATAAAGGAAGCCCTTGGTGCTTTGAAAGTATTTTGTCTTCTGAGTGCCAAGTTTTTAAAAGATGCCTGGCCCTAACGGTTAGATGTATTCATTAGTCACCTACAAAGAAGTCATCTAGTGTAGTCTACCCGTCTAGATAAATTCTATACTCAGTGAAGGGAGACAGACTTCTCAGGAAGGTGATTTACCACTTATTTTGGAAAACCTGTTGTAGGACAGGAAGAATTGCTGTCCAAAGAACAGTGAGTCGTGAATGAGCAAGAGCCCAAAAATCTAAGATGCACTCAGAAATTTGAAAATAGGTGGAGGAGGAGCTAATCTCAATTCTACAGCTGTGAGTCATAGGCTATGGGTATATGAGCAAGTAATCTGGTGCTAGAGGAATGGATCAGTATACAGAAGCAACTAATGCTAAGCAACTAAGGCTGCTGCTTTTACATTATAACACATGTTGGCAATTTACATTAAACTATGTTTAATCTGATCCTCTAGACCAAATGACCATATGAAGTGCATGCATATCTGAAGCTGCTGAAGAATCAAGTCACTGCTTTGGAGCTTTTTGCCCAGGTTGGAGGGTTTTTTTATTATGTATTTAAAAAAGAGCTTTCAGTTTAGTTTCCCTTGAAAGAAATCTATTGTATGGACCAGAACTGCTCTGTGAACTAAGCCAGCTGGACTAAGTGGAGATCATGGTAGAATTTGCTCTAAAACCATTGCTCCAAACCACAAAGCCCATGTAAACACTTAAAATGCTGAAGTGTCTATTAGCCACTTGAATTACATTCCAGAAGCTCTATTTTACTCAGCAATTTCCATTTTCTAATGCTCTGTTTAACTGCTCCTCAATTTTCACCATCCTGGTAAATGCCAGTATGTTTTTTCACTGTGAAGGTGTTGTAGTAATATTTACCTGCATGAAGCGACCCTCCGAACTGCCCAGATTTGCAATGGTAAGGTTCCCTTTGGTGAAGACAGATATTGAAGTTAACAGGACACTGTTGAACTGGCCCATGAACAAGTCAACCCTCTGCAGAGGAGTTGTAACTTCTAAGCGATATTCATCATCTTGTGCTCTGCAGTATGAAGCATTTCTTGAAAAAGCCTGTTAGAAAATGAAGTACAGATGAGTACTGCCTTTACGAGTAGGAATAGATCTTTGTCAGAGTGAAGTCATTTAGCACAAATGCATTTGACCAAAAGTATTTTAAACTGTTTCAAACTTAATTGCTTCATTAGTTATGATGTTCCATGAGGAAGGCGATGACTTCTTAATGTTATGGGAATGTTCTTTTAACTTTTTTTAATCCTGTCTGTTGGGAATAACACACAAGCTCTGTATGTAACCAGATGGTATGTGTAAAAGCACATATATCAAGGTATCCCTTCTCTTAGTGACTTCTGTAACGATGCTTCTTCAAGGGTCTCAGAATTCCTTGACTGCAGACCCTGCCTAGCAACACACCAGCTTCTCAAACACTAATTCCTAGAAAATTGTCTAAAAACATTGCAATTTTTTTAACCTTTTTTCTGCATTAAAATACCAATTTCCAGTATTACTCTCTATTCTGTTTTCAACATGTTTTTCAGTGATAAGCCAAAAAACGGGAGAAAAAGATGGAGAAAGAGAAAAGGGAGATAAGCCAGGAAAAATATGTTTCTGATTGTATTTTTAAATGAAACTATGGGGAAGCCAGCTTTTTATAATTACTTAGGCTATTGTATTGATCATCTATGGCTCAAGTACTATTTTGTCCAATCTATCTATGTCTTGAGTGTACTATAATAGCTGCTCCATTTGCAGGATTTTCTCTTTCAGTTTGGGAATAGAGAATACATGTTTTTAATTTTCATTGGAAAAATTCTTAAGCAATACACTTTAAGTTATCTCCAGAGAAGAATATAACCTGCTGTCCTGACAATTCAATAGTAATCTATTAACTGATAATTCCATTACTATTGATACTACATCATCTGTTTTGGTGATACAGTACAGACAACAACCAGAAACCCCCTCAAGGATCTCTAACCAGTTTAAATTTGGAACTCATCTAACATGTCCCCACTGTGACATACTTTATGAATAAACATGCAGGGAGATTATAAAAAAGCTTATGGTTGTTCCCTCTGTTAAAATCAATAGAGAGCTTTGGTTTTCCTAGTCGTTTGTTTCATTGTTGTTACAAAGAAGCTGTATTTTTTTATTTAAAGCTCAAATTAAACCTTTTAAAGACAGTTTTTTAACTGAATTCAATCGATCTGGATCACCCTTAAAAAACAATCAGGAGTAACATTTTATTTTCATATTATCTTGATTCAGATGTTTTCCCTTCTTACCTATAATCAAAGTACCATAAGAAAGCAAGCAATGAATCACAAATTTATTTCTGGCTTCACTCTGGTGAATTAAGCAGAAAAATCAAGGCACTGAAAATGCTGTTAACAAAATGCTCAACCTAACAGCTCAGTCCTTTGCTGTTGACTTGTAACATTTTTGAACTACACACAAAACCAGCCCTAGCAGGTTAGGTTTTCCGTGATCCTTAGGAGTCGCAGTCAGTTGTGGTGCCGGTTTTTCTCAGCATGCACTGTCAATTTATTGTATCTTTTAGGTAAAAACCTGCATAAGACCAAAAAAAAGAGAAACTGAAATCTCTGTCCACTGTGTAATGGTACAGAAAGAAGCCTTCCAGATTAGATCTGATAGAGCAGTGACTTCACAGTTTGGTTATCCACATGCTGAAGTGTTTGCTGTA